GACAAAGGAACATCTAGATCTCTGGAGATGGACTTGTAACCTTGAGATTGTTGATATTTTTCCACAATTTTGGTTCTCAAGTCCTCAGACAGTTCTCTTTTCCTCTTTCTGTTCTCCATGCTTAGTGTGGCACACACAGAAACACAATGCAAAGACTGAGTCAACTTCTCTCCTTTTTATCTGCTTTCAGGTGTGATTTTTAGATTGCCCACACCTGTTACTTGCCCCAGGTGAGTTTAAAGGAGCATCACATGCTTGGAACAAACTTATTTATCCACAATTTTGAAAGGGTGCCAATAACTTTGTCCGGCCCATTTTTTTTAGTTTTGTGTGAAATTATGTCAAATTTGCTTTTTTCCTGTTTTTTTTTGTGTTATTCCAATACACACAAAGGAAATAAACATGTGCATAGCAAAACATGTGTAATTTCAATACTTTTCTGTGAGAAATACTTCATTTTCTGGAAAAATTTCAGGGGTGCCAACAATTTTGGCCATGACTGTACATGCCCGTCTTATGTTTGCCAATGAACATCTGAATGATTCAGAGGAGAACTGGGTGAAAGTGTTGTGGTCAGATGAGACCAAAATCGAGCTCTTTGGCATCAACTCAACTCGCCGTGTTTGGAGGAGGTGGAATGCTGCCTATGACCCCAAGAACACCATCCCCACCATCAAACATGGAGGTGGAAACATTAAGCTTTGGGGGTGTTTTTCTGCTAAGGGGACAGGACAACTTCACCGCATCAAAGGGACGATGGACGGGGCCATGTACCGTCAAATCTTGGGTGAGAACCTCGTTCCCACAGCCAGGGCATTGAAAATGGGTTGTGGATGGGTATTCCAGCATGACAATGACCCAAAACACACGGCCAAGGCAACAAAGGAGTGACTCAAGAAGAAGCACATTAAGGTCCTAGAGTGGCCTAGCCAGTCTCCAGACCTTAATCCCATAGAAAATCTGTGGAGGGAGCTGAAGGTTCGAGTTGCCAAACGTCAGCCTCGAAACCTTAATGACTTGGAGAAGATCTGCAAAGAGGAGTGGGACAGATGTGTGCAAACCTGTCTCTCACTGTTCAGATAAACCTACCATTAAAATGATAGACTGATCATTTCTTTGTCAGTGGGCAAACGTACAAAATCAGCAGGGGATCAAATACTTTTTCCCTCACTGTAGATATTCCATAAAAATCAGCCGTTTCCAGCTACAATAGCCATTTACAACATTAACAATGTCTACATTGTATTTCGGATCAATTTGATGTTATTGTAATGGACAAAAAATTTGCTTTTCTTTCGAAAACAATAACATATCTAAGTGACCCCATACCTTTGAACGGTAGTGTCTGTACAGTATGTCAGTTACGATGTTATGGAACTCATAACTGAATAATGTTCCCAACTGGCCTGGTCTCTTTCTATTCACTGTAGTCAGACTAGAGTGCCGTTCACAAAGCGGTAAACCACATAATTTATTGCCTTCAGAAGCTTTTCAGAAAATCTTCATTTACCATTCCTCTTTTGTCTCTCATCAACAAATAGCTGACATTTAGAAAATATCAGAGCACTTGTTCTGTCAATATTTGACTCCATTGACTACCCAGTTCATTCGATTCATACTGGAAACCATTTTCCCACAAAGGTCAGACTGAGCCTGAGCCTTCAGTGTTTCTGTGTGGAGCCTGTTGATTGAAAGGCAAGAAATATGTCCGGAAAACATTTTTAAGTTAGGTTATTTTTTCTGGGGTTTTATTTCTTTATTCTTCTTCTAAGGCTTCTTCGATTGAATCTCTGGGCACCAAAAGGCCTGGAAATGAAAGCCTTATTTCAACCGATCGTCTCTCGTTCCTACTGTGCCGTGTCCCCAGTGAATTCACCTGGGGTAAAACCGACTAAAATTAGACCCTCAATTATGAGCAATTACTGAGCAGGCCTGTAGGCTCCTCAGTGTATTCACTCCCTCGCTTACCTCGCGTACCTATAATGGACTAAAACTGCAGAGGGAGAAACTGCCATCACAGTTCTCTGTATTTAACTTGGCTGCAGTGTATATCAGTGCTGTGAGGTGAGCTACTCCTAATTTAGTTTTCTTTAATTGGATGAAGTGTGCTGCAACAACAATGTCCATTTCTGTTGTGAGTAACGGAAAGCCTCTCGGTGGAAAAGTAAAGTGATTTGTCTAGAAGGCTTTTTCGACAGGAATGTGGACGACAGTGCCTTGAAGCAATCTAGGAAACATTCCTGAACGATAGAGAGAGAGAGACGCTTAATGTGGACTTAAGCTTGCAGATCGAAATCCTATCTGTGCAAATTCTTAATCAATGCAGCAGGCACTTGTTTGGCGGTTCAATATCAGTAAAGAGCTTTCCATCAAACCTTTTTATGCGAGTAAAGTACGTCAGGCCTGATGAAAAAAGGCACATTTGTCGGTAAACATTCCAGATGTCCACAAATAAAAATACATTAGATAGTGGGATGTTTTGGTGTCAGTAAAATTAATTTTGCGATAAATGGTGGTGGAAACGCCTTTATGCGAACATTGATATAGTAACCATCATATCGAAGTAAACTTTGAGTCACGCGATCATATGTTGTGTGGTCCTCCCACTACGACTCGGGAAAGCATGCAGTTTTATTAGGCTACAGATTAAATAAATTGTTATGAACATCACAGGGGGGTGAAAGTGCACAGTGATGAGCTTGATGCTCCTTTTCATTTAATATTGAGGGTCTTATTTAGGTGACTTGATGCTTGGCTGCCATTTGACATCATGTAGGCTATACCCGCACTGTATCTGCGAGCTGTTGGCTACAGTGCATGTGCCAAGACCAGAGTTGGCACATTCACTATATAAAGGGCAATTCAACGGTAAAGTCTCAGATTTCTCAATTAAAATATATGCCAAACAAAAACTATTGATTTCAAAGTTTAACAAACCATACAACTATATGCACAAGGACTACTCTACTTTTAACAATTTACACAGAACATTTTACGAAAACACATCTATTGGAAGAACTGTGCAGATGCAAAGTTTGGTAATAGGATTTTGGTAACATCTCCCTCAGTTTTTTTTATGTGTCACGTTTTCCAAAAACTCTGTAAATATCTGCTCCGCATTAAGATTCAACGATGTATGCAGAAAGAATGGGGGCTCCGCTATGATATGACACATTGACTTTGAAAAAATCTATTTTGGTTATTGAACTACAGTAAGTGAAGTGGATTTACACCCGGTAACAGAATTGCGGTAATGGAATTTCATCATGGGTCCCTGATCTTTACGACACAGAAATGCATAATTATGTATATGAAAGTCATTCTCTTCATGGTGATGTAACCTAAATAGGTACATGAAGGTAGAAATATGCAATAACCTCCTTTGCATATTTGGGTATTATTCTATGCCCGTCTGGTGTTCAACCTTCCCAAGTTCTCTCACGTCACCCCCCTCCTCCGCACACTCCACTGGCTTCCAGTTGAAGCTCGCATCCGCTACAAGACCATGGTGCTTGCCTATGGAGCAGTGAGGGGAACGGCACCTCTGTACCTTCAGGCTCTGATCAGTCCCTACACCCAAACGAGAGTATTGCGCTCATCCACCTCTGGCCTGCTGGCTCCCCTTCCTCTGCGGAAGCATAGTTCCCGCTCAGCCCAGTCAAAACTGTTCGCTGCTCTGGCACCCCAATGGTGGAACAAGCTCCCTCACGACGCCAGGACAGCGGAGTCACTCACCACCTTCCGGAGACATTTGAAACCCCACCTCTTTAAGGAATACCTGGGATAGGATAAAGGAATCCTTCTACCCCCCCCCCCCCCCCCCCAATTGTAAAGTGGTTATCCCACTGGCTATAGGGTGAACGCACCAATTTGTGAGTCGCTCTGGCTAAGAGCGTCTGCTTAATGACGTTAATGTGCCCTTGAGCAAGGCACTTAACCCTAATTGCTCCTGTAAGTCGCTCTGGATAAGAGCGTCTGCTAAATGACTAAAATGTAAATGTAAATGTAATGTTAGTCTATTATTCTACACACAGGCTATTATTTTAATGAGCTCTGACCCCAAACAAGACCAAATTTGGTTGGACCGGACCAAATCTGAACCTATCATACATTTTTGTCATTTAACAGACGCTCTTATCAAGAGCTACTTACAATTAGTGAGTGCATACATTTTTCGTGGGCCATACTGTACTTTGGCCATCAAAGTACAGCACATTAGAGCTCAGTAGAGCACAGAATGGTAGAGTACAGTGGAGTACATTATAGTGTACTGTACAGAACTCTACTGTACATTACAGTACTGAACTATACTCTACGTTTCTTCACTGTGCTGTACTGTACTGAACTATACTCTACTTTTCTGTACTGGACTCCACTGTACTGTGCTGTCCAAACTTGTGAACCCAACTGTGGTTTGTGACTGATTTCCCATTGTAGCCAATTAAATAGCCAAAATTCTGGTCGTTTTTTTGGGGTGGGGGGGGATTCCGTTACCAATTTTGTAACAAAATTTTTGGTTGATAGTGGCACCCCAGATCCCAGTGGTAATTCCCCTTGCTTTGACTTCAAAGCATCACTAAAGATTTCTAGAGAGAATGGGTTCATTATCGAGGAGGCATATTTCTTTCTTGGCTGTCTCTTTGGATTAGAGTCATGACAAATGAGAAAAAGTGGGTCAAGATCCGTTTTCATCATATTTGGTGGGGAAGGGGAACCACAATGAAGGGAAAAATACCACTCTTACACTCTAAATGCTGTATTAAGACTTCTCTTTGACTTGAGACTTTTGCCTTCCTTTGTCAAACGCTGTGGAGAACCCTCAATCAGTTTGATATCCATGTCTAAATTATTAACACATTCTTTGTAAACTGGGCTAATTCTCCCCAAACTGGCACCTTTAAATGTCTCAAATGTGAGTCTGGTGAGTTATTTAGTGGAGTAATCTCAGAAGCTGTCCTTGTTGTGGTGTGCTCACTGCGCTGGCTAATCGGGCCGGTGGAATGTCCTCACAGATCTGTCTGTGTGAGTACGGAGGGAACATGCCCTGCTTTGATGTCCCATTAGCAACACTCAAAGGCTTACTTGCTGTCACTCTTCTCCTATAGGCCTACTTCGACGTTTTGTACATCAAGATGTCTTGTTTTTCCTTGTACCCTTGCTGATGTCCACTTTTTGGGCTGTAACTGAACATCTACATTGTGTCCCTCATTGAGCATTTCAACCAAAAGCCTTATGTTTATGAACTCCATAGATACTACTAGGCCTACTAGGTTGCATTGTGTACTGTACCATTGAGTTACTGATCACATTCGTTTTATGTCCCCCATGCAGGTCAGGAGCGATTTGGGAACATGACGCGGGTGTATTACAAGGAGGCGGTGGGGGCATTCGTGGTGTTTGACGTGACGAGGGGCTCCACTTTTGAGGCCGTGTCCAAATGGAAGCACGACTTGGACAGCAAGGTGAAACTGGCCAATGGGAGCCCTATACCCTCGGTGCTGCTTGCCAATAAGTGTGACCAGAAGAAAGAGAGCTTCAACAACACTTCCCTCATGGACAACTTCTGTAAAGAGACTGGCTTCCTGGGCTGGTTCGAGACTTCAGCCATGGTGAGAGAGAGACACACACACACAAATACGCTAGGCCTACACCATAAGACTACAACAGTGTTTTGCTATTAGCTCTCCCCTAATCATAAAGCCTTAGCTACAGCCATACTACAAATAATAGTATAGCTAGTGTGTGCATTAGGCTTTTCTATCAGCTTGAACTGAAGGTAAATGTAGGTTTTTGTTTGTGAGGTTGTTTCCTAATGTTTTACAGGTTGCTTTTCAGTAAATAAAAAAACACTTGGATTGTCAACAAACAATGACAAACCTTTTTACTCTATTACTCGGATCAGTTCAGAGTAGCATGAAGTTGCCCATTTTAAGCCACATGTTTAAGATGGCTGACATACCTCAGCGTATCAAGGATAAACCGGTGCTTTCAGGTCTGTAGTTGCATGGTTGATTCACCGTGGCTGAAATGACATTTCACACACGTTACATTTCTGTTTTTCTGGTCATTTTTTTGCGCTACGTCAAACACTGAATAGATTAATGACTGGAAAACAAAACAAGGGCAAGAATAGCATAAAAAGGTAATGTAATAAAAGTGTAAAGGCCTGACTTGGGGGAGTTGAATCAGAACATTAGGTAGCAGTACTCCTCGTGCTGCCAAATCAAATTATTTGTGCTGTGGGTCATTGTGCTGTTGAAATTAGCAGAGTGGGAAAACACAAGCGTACCCCACTGTGTCACTCAGAGCAGTATTAGTTAGGAAAGACAGAAGCATGCTAGCCAAGCAATTCCAGCCAGAGTCACAATCACAATGATAATGGCTGCTGTCTTCATTGCCATTCCAAGATATGTTAAATGCCTTCAGTTGAATGCTTATCCTAATCTGAAAACACTCTGCTTTGTTTACAGGCAATTTTATTGAACAGTTTTTGAGCTTTTATTGGAGGCTGTTTGGCGAGAAATTCAGAATGACATTTATAATATTAGGGATCATAGACACAGGAAGTAGTTTGGGGGTGGGGGTGCTGCGATTGTTTTTATTCAACGGGGGGATTTGCCTGCGCTGCAGACGGCTGTATCGGTCCACTAATACAGGACTATTAAAGGCCCAGTGAACTACTTCTGTGATTATTTATTCAGAATAGTAAAAAAAAGGGTGCTGCAGCACCCCTACTTCCTGTGGCTATGTTAGGGATCACTGAGCTGGATCTCGTTTAAGTGGCAGTTCTGTTTCATAGAGAGACATGTGGAGACACCACAGGAATATGTATTACAATACATATGCACTAGAGCTGATCCCATTTAGTCGACTGATTGATTGTTTGGTCGATAGGCTGTTGGTCGACCAAGATTTCTTTAGTCGAGTATTCACAATTATTATAATTTTTCTTCATGGTGCACCAGACACCTGTCTGATTCGCTCATGTCTGAGTGGACTAATCCATTGCGGAGACCACAGGGATACCACAGTCCATCACTCTAATAAGACGTGATACGGAAATTGTTTATGGTTATATTATGTAAAAGTAATGGTCCAACACTAGTAAATCTAATATTATTTTATAACAAATGCGCTTTCTCCTGCGTTGGATATGGTCGCTGTCACGGTTCTGAAACATAATCTTCAGTGCGCCGTAGAATTGGCGCCTTTCCCTATGTAGATATGTGCATAATAGCAAAGTTAACCAGCATATTGGGATTGAGAACAATGTGGCGGAGGCAGCAGTGGCAGAAACGAGGAAACAGTCCTTGCCTAAGCCTAATTGTCTAAGAAAATTGAGGAGAGGGGAAACCCCAACTTAATTAGGTCTATAATCAATAGCCTAACTATTAAATGTGCCTGGCTTTATAAATCATCCATATATATACAGTGGGGGAAAAAAGTATTTAGTCAGCCACCAATTGTGCAAGTTCTCCCACTTAAAAAGATGAGAGAGGCCTGTAATTTTCATCATAGGTACACGTCAACTATGACAGACAAATTGAGAAAAAGAAATCCAGAAAATCACATTGTAGGATTTTTAATGAATTTATTTGCAAATTATGGTGGAAAATAAGTATTTGGTCAATAACAAAAGTTTCTCAATACTTTGTTATATACCCTTTGTTGGTAATGACACAGGTCAAATGTTTTCTGTAAGTCTTCACAAGGTTTTCACACACTGTTGCTGGTATTTTGGCCCATTCCTCCATGCAGATCTCCTCTAGAGCAGTGATGTTTTGGGGCTGTTGCTGGGCAACACAGACTTTCAACTCCCTCCAAAGATTTTCTATGGGGTTGAGATCTGGAGACTGGCTAGGCCACTCCAGGACCTTGAAATGCTTCTCACTCCTTCGTTGCCCGGTCGGTGTGTTTGGGATCATTGTCATGCTGAAAGACCCAGCCACGTTTCATCTTCAATGCCCTTGCTGATGGAAGGAGGTTTTCACTCAAAATCTCACGATACATGGCCCCATTCATTCTTTCCTTTACACGGATCAGTCGTCCTGGTCCCTTTGCAGATAAACAGCCCCAAAGCATGATGTTTCCACCCCCATGCTTCACAGTAGGTATGGTGTTCTTTGGATGCAACTCAGCATTCTTTGTCCTCCAAACACGACGAGTTGAGTTTTTACCAAAAAGTTATATTTTGGTTTCATCTGACCATATGACATTCTCCCAATCCTCTTCTGGATCATCCAAATGCACTCTAGCAAACTTCAGACGGGCCTGGACATGTACTGGCTTAAGCAGGGGGACACGTCTGGCACTGCAGGATTTGAGTCCCTGGCGGCGTAGTGTGTTACTGATGATAGGCTTTGTTACTTTGGTCCCAGCTCTCTGCAGGTCATTCACTAGGTCCCCCCGTGTGGTTCTGGGATTTTTGCTCACCGTTCTTGTGATCATTTTGACCCCACGGGGTGAGATCTTGCGTGAAGCCCCAGATCGAGGGAGATTATCAGTGGTCTTGTATGTCTTCCATTTCCTAATAATTGCTCCCACAGTTGATTTCTTCAAACCAAACTGCTTACCTATTGCAGATTCAGTCTTCCCAGCCTGGTGCAGGTCTACAATTTTGTTTCTGGTGTCCTTTGACAGCTCTTTGGTCTTGGCCATAGTGGAGTTTGGAGTGTGACTGTTTGAGGTTGTGGACAGGTGTCTTTTATACTGATAAGAAGTTCAAACAGGTGCCATTAATACAGGTAACGAGTGGAGGACAGAGGAGCCTCTTAAAGAAGAAGTTACAGGTCTGTGAGAGCCAGAAGTCTTGCTTGTTTGTAGGTGACCAAATACTTATTTTCCACCATAATTTGCAAATAAATTCATTAAAAATCCTACAATGTGATTTTCTGGATTTTTTTTTCTCAATTTGTCTGTCATAGTTGACGTGTACCTATGATGAAAATTACAGGCCTCTCTCATCTTTTTAAGTGGGAGAACTTGCACAATTGGTGGCTGTCTAAATACTTTTTTCCCCCACTGTATCTACATAAATAAGACAGATCTTGCTTCTGTTGTCTGTTTGAGTGTTTGTTTAATTTCACAGAATCGGTTGTTTTTAATCTTTGCTATGCTGTAATAAAGTTTTTTTTTTTTTATAGTTAGAACAGACTGGTATTACTTATAATTTATTTAGTGTTGTTTACACTATTCCAAACAGGCAGAAAAATAATATTGTAATCTAAAAGCACCTGTTTGTCACACATAACATGCACACAGCTCTCGCTCCTATACCATCCTTTTTCTTAATCTCCTTCTTATTGTTATTATAAAAAATATTATTATGATCATCATTATAATAATAAGTAATGTCTTTATCATTAGTAGGCTTTGTATATAAGCCTTTTACAGTGCCTTCGGAAAGTATTCAGACCCCTTGACTTTTTCCACATTTTGTTACGTCACAGCCTTATTCTAAAATTGATTAAATAAAAACATTTCCTCAGCAATCTACACCCAATACCCCATAATGACAAAGCAAAAACAGGTTTTTTGAAAATGTAGCAAATGTATATGAAAAAAACAAAAACAGAAATGTCTTATTTACATAAGTATTCAGACCATTTGCTATGAGACTCGAAATTGAGCTCAGGTGCATCCTGTTTCCATTGATCATCCTTGAGATGTTTTTACATGTTGATTGGAGTCCACCTGTGGTAAATTCAATTGATTGGACATGATTTGGAAAGGAACACACCTGTCTATATAAGGTCCCACAGTTGACAGTGCATGTCAGAGCAAAAACCAAGCCATGAGGTCGAAGGAATTGTCCGTAGCGCTCCGAGACAGGATTGTGTCGAGGCACAGATCTGGGGGTGGGTACCAAAAAATTTCTGCAGCATTGAAGGTCCCCAAGAACACCGTGGCCTCCATCATTCTTAAATGGAAGATGTTTGGAACCATCAAGACTCTTCCTAGAGCTGACTGCCCGGCCAAACTGAGCAATCGGGGGAGAAGGGCCTTGGTCAGGGAGGTGACCAAGAACCCGATGGTAACTCTGACAGAGCTCAAGAGTTCCTATGTAGAGATGGGAGAACCTTCCAGAAGGACAACCATCTCTGTAGCACTCCACCAATCAGGCCTTTATGGTAGAGTGGCCAGACGGAAGCCACTCCTCAGTAAAACTGAGTAAAACTCACATGACATGATTCTCTGGTCTGATGAAACCAAGATTGAACTCTTTGGCCTGAATGCCAAGCGTCACGTCTGGAGGAAACCTGGCATCATCCCTACGGTGAAGCATGGTGGTGGCAGCGTCATGCTGTGGGGATGTGTGTCAGCTGCAGGGACTGGGAGACTAGTCAGGATCGAGGCAAAGATGAACGGAGCAAAGTACAGAGAGATCCTTGATGAAAACCTGCTCCAGAGCGCTCAGGACCTCAAACTGGGGCAAAGGTTTACCTTCCAACAGGAGAGACCTGAAAATAGCTGTGCAGCAATGCTCCCCATCCAACCTGACAGAGCTTGAGAGGATCTGCAGAGAAGAATGGGAGAAAATCCCCAAATACAGGTGTGCCAAGTTTGTAGCGCCATACCCAACAAGACTCGATGATTTAATCGCTGCCAAAGGTGCTGAGTTAAAGGGTCTGAATACTTATTTAAATGTGATATTTCAGTTCTTTATTAAAAAAATTCTAACAACCTGTTTTTGCTTTGTCATT